TAGTTGAAAAAACATCCAATAGTTTAGGTAAAAAAATCCAATTGTTGAGTTGAGAAAAACTTCCGATTGTTTCTCTGAACTTACATCTGCTCCATCCGAACAACAATTCCGAATTTAAATATTAATTTATAAATTCATAGTCCACCTCTATGATCAATTGCAATTCTGGAATGTCAAATCAAAATTCGATTCAAAAATTGATAGAAAATTTAAAGTTTAAAAGGATGATTGCATTTATCATTGGTGCAAGATTGCTGAATAATATCACTGGCGTACGAATGAAATTTTGTCATATCGGTGTTTGGATAAAATCAAATAAATTTGAATATCTATATCAGTTAGAGATTCAATTATTTGTGGCCTTTCGAATGGACATTTAGCTTAGCGTAACATTCGTTAGAATGAAAGTAACCATTTTGCTTTCGAATTTAATTTAAATCGAAAAGATGTGAGAAAAGTTTCCTAGTTAAAATGGAATTTTACTTCCTCATTTATAACTCTAATCGTTGAAACTTTATATAAGTTATTTCAGTAATAAATTAATTAAAGCTCTGAATTCCTGGTATTTATGAAAAGATGCAGCATTTATTTTGCTGTATTTTTAAATCTGTATTTTTAAATCTTTCTATAAATATTTCGTTTTCTCCTTGATTATGATTTCCGTTTCCATTTAGTCGCAGGAAAATAAAATAAAATTAAAGTATTTAATTTTATAATTTTCTTAAGATGACTTTATTTTATTTCAGTCCTTTATTGCATTATACTATATTATTTTACATTCATAACATAATTTGGGGACCGCCCAGGCTTCGGCCGTATTGTCACTCGGTGCAGAGTTATTCTGGGTCTGCTTGGCCAAGTGACCGAAATCAGTTCCTGGTCAGAATCTCCTTACGAGAGGAGAGTCCGAAAAAAGTTTTCCGGGCCGAGTCATACCGAGCTTGCAAGCTGCCCAGGGGCTGCCCTTCAAACCCTGAGCCGAAGCGGTCATAGAGAAGCTGATTTGCGTGCTAGACATCCATGTGTATCAGTCGGTGAGCCGTCCCTCTGTAATACGTACGAGACATCCATGTGTATCAGTCGGTGAGTCGTCCCTCTGTAATACGTACGGGACATCCATGTGTATCAGGACACATCAGGGTTCACGGGACATCCATGTGTACGGGACACATCAGGGTTCATCCCTCAGCACAACACATCAGGGTTCATCCCTCAGCACAACACATCAGGGTTCATCCCTCAGCACAACACATCAGGGTTCATCCCTCAGCACAACGCATCACAATTATTTCCTTAGTGGTAATTATTATTATTACGTTTAGCTTTACCTTGTTATCATAATTAGCTGAACGGTATTCAAAGCTTCGCTCATTCACCCGTGCAATTGAAGCAGTATTGTTAGAAACTGATGTACGGTATCTTCCGTGATAATGTTTCCATAAATTTAATTTTATTTATTTATGCACACAGGAGCACACGTTACAATTAAATATATAAGAGATGTGAAATAAATAGCAAGGCTTCAAAGTGAATGCCCGTATAAGCTAAATATGCTTCGCAGGCAACATAATAGGTATACATTTCTATTCTAATGATAATAAGATGACGATGAAAATAATATAAGTAATAAATTTCTAAAATAATTAATCAAACCCACTGACAGAAGCCTTAAAAAACTAATAACCGCATGTCATAATGAAAAAAAATCAGCATAAAAGAGGCAATATCAACATTACACTAAGTATAATAGGGTACAACTGCAAACATCTAGCAAAAATGCTTAAAACTTGCGTAATAATCGAAATAGAATTAATACTTGTTAATGATATAATCACGGAATTTTGACTTTTAACTTCGCTCATCATTACTAATTGCATCCGAAGGAATTATTTTTGAATCTCATTGAAAAAATGCAAAAACTTGCCATTAATTCACTTGCACTTGAATCTTGAATGCAAAAATATTTGGATACAATTTTCAACAATAATGTTAAATTTAACTGTGAAGCTATTGATATACTTACTCCCTCAAAGGCTCATTTATTTTATTGCCTTCAATTTAGTTCATGGATGAAGAACAAACTGCAATAAAAATTTACTAAATAGCCTTCAATTCATAAATGAAGAAGAGACTGCAATAAAAAAAAATCATCGCTCCGGATTGGAATTCCATTCCTCACGCTAATTCAATTATTCATATGACTTCAAAAGCCAGTCCGTCTTTTTCTTTCTCCTAGGAAAAAAATGTAATGCGCAGATCCAATAGAAAATTTCAGCATGATTTTAAGCTGCAGCACATGATCATTTTCGGCCGCATATAATATACGTCGCTTTCGCGAGAAAAACCTGGTTTATGAAAAAATCTGGCCAGACCGATGATAAATCGATGATAAATCGTCCCAGATATTTGAACGGGGGAACGAATGACTGAATGATTTATGGAAGGTTTCTCACCCTCAAAGCTATCGAAACTTACATTAAATCTTATCGCTCGTTCCAACATAGTCATTTTAGGTATTTTTGCAGCTCGAGCTATTTCTAATAGCCAAAAATCGCTTAGCCCTCTCCATGATCTCATAATCAACACTTTTTAAATGATCACTTCCTTGAACTCTCTGATAGATATAGCATTTCATCAGTACTATCCGATATTTTTCATCGCGTATTCAATAATATTTAGCCAGATAAATTCATCAATCTGGTCTTGGTGACGTTACAAAGAAATGCTATCGGGAAAATCTTGGGCGTAATCTCTTCAGCAGGCCTTCAGATGAGGTTTATCCACTACTTCAATTAAGATTTGTTCAGCTATTTCCACCCCTATTATTAAGAACTCAGCTCTGAAGAATGATAATAGGATGATAATGAAAAAAAATATAAGCAAAAATTCATAGATAATACATTTGTAAACTAATGTATCGTTGTAGCTGCGCTATTTGTCCGTCATTTGTTTACCAGGTTCACGCTGGCAATGTGTAGAGTGGGCTGCGTTAACTCTCTATTATTTTATTCGCTCAGCGGTTGCGGTTGTGGTGGCCAAGACCTACACAAAAATGCAGACCCATTAATAAAAATCAGCAGAACATATATCAACTCAGGGGTCATTAATATCCTGGATTACAAATTAATTCTCTCTATGAAATATGACCAGCTGACATATGAGAGGTTAAGTACACCCATCGACCAGTTCCAGGAAACTGGGCGTGTGTTATTTATTAACAAACACGAGAATATAACATTTTAATGGTGAAGAAACTGATACTGGTCGGTGCGACAGCTCTTAAATGAAACGCTTCGCTAATGGTTTCGTTATTTTCGAGACTGGTAATCGCTCGCTTGTCTACGACCTCAAATAAATTTGATGTTTTTTTGGCAGGTGACCCAGGTTAGACCGGCAAGGCCTGCCATTAGTTTCAACAGGGTTTTAAAAATATTTTAATACATATTTTTTAAAGTAACCCCGGTTTGAGCGGTGGAGTGCTCTTTCTTTGCAGCATTATATCTACCGGGATATAAATTGTAGCCAACGATGTAAACTTTTCACATTCGAAGTCATTACTGTTCTTTAAATGTGAATGGCAACCGAAAGCCTGATGTTCATTAGCCCTCAGAGCTGTTACCATCAAAATTATTTGGTCCAATTAGTGGCACACATTATATAAATTTCACTGACACGAGTTGTGCTACTGAGTTTCGTTAAATTCAATTTTTCGTTGAATCTTAATACACTAATTATTCACAACAACATCGGGCTTTCAAACACAGAAGCATTCGGCACCGAATTTTAGTTAATATTTTTACAAATTTAACAAACGTTTGAGTTACGCTTGTAGATGGAAATTTATACATCAGGGTTGAAAATTATTCATCTGTTTACGGAGCTGCGGAATAGCTTCAGGCCTTTAAGGTTTACGAGTATATATAGCAGGGACCCCGACCCACAAAGCCAGTTTTGTGTTTCTGGAACAGCGAGGCTAAAAGTTCATGCAGAATAATATGATTTACATCTTTTGCCAATATCTTATAAACTATATTACATAATACAGAATGAGTTAAAATTGTAAATTTATGTTCATTTTTTATATTGCGGTACCAAAGATATATTCAAATAAAAAGAGCTGAGAAACACACACAAATGTATCCTAGACGATCAATCACGAAAAGTATTGTTGAAATCAACACCATTAACATATGACGTTACTATGGTTACGGTACATTAAATTAGCGTTACATTCAAAATGAAACTAAATGACGCACTTTGGACGTAATTGAGGATTTTATACAAATTTTACTACGGGGGAATGGTTATTATTTGGGGTTAAATTTATATAGTGCACACAAATACTACACTTGAACTACATATTTTGCTCTACGGCATATGGAGTAACATTCGAAATGACAACATCGCGCAAAGTTTATTATCGTTCGTTACCCGCTATACGACAGAGATTTCGCTCCAAGTGAGACTGAATATTTTAATCCTTTAATTCCACTTATTCTAAAACTACTTTATGTCATTTTAAAAAATGTCTATAGCTCTTTCTTGATAATAATTAATTACAAAAAGTAACAACGAGTTGCTGCATGGTCCTTTCCCGCGTCAGTTACTTTCGTCTTGAATATTTATTCTTGTTGACTTAATTATCATTGTCCATACTCAGTATCTTGCTTGGGAAACAATGAATTAAAAAAAAGTCTTAACAAATTTAATTTGTAATTTAATTTGATTCATGGTATCAAATTAAAATCCAGTACTTTTTGATCATTTTGCTTATCTATTATGCATTTACATTCTATTAATTTTTTTAGCGTTATGCCATAAAGTATCATTTCGACGCCAACGTTACTTTTTTTAACCGGATAATAACCGGTGCTCGGGGTGAATTTCTATTATTTACTTACGTCTGAGTTTTTCAACTCGACGCAATTTTAGAAACTTATACCGAAAAATGTGACTTCCCGAAAGAAAGATATTAATTTCCTGACTTTTTTCAATTCCAGCAAAACCTGGACAAGGATTTATTCACGACGTACACGCACCTGTTGGTTGGCATCCAGTATTTCCTGCCGCTGTGCATCGTCTCATTTGCCTACTTGAAAATCGCACGCAAATTGTGGGGCTCCCGCACGCCTGGCAACGCTGAAGACGCGCGGGATGCGCATGTACTAAAGAACAAGAAAAAGGTAATGCAGTTAAAATAGGGTGCAAAATATTGTGTATAAGGTATAAATTGCACGTGTTTAGCAAAGTATATTCTGCAAAAATAGAAATAAGGTATAAAATGTAGTAATGTAATAGAATGATGGAAGAGAAAGGTTAGAAATGATTCGGGATCGTATGATACGGAATGTCATATTATGTGATAATGATTCATGTTATGTTTTATTTGGAATTGAGGAAAATTCTGTAAATTTTATTTGTATGCTCTTTCATGCAACGTTCGCCTTCATAGATTAGCCCAGATATTTATAATGGATCAGGCATAAAATTCGTCTATGGAAGATATTTTCAACTAATATTTGATAAAATCTCCTTAACACATTATGCACACTATTCCAGACAAATAATTTTTATCATGAATGGTATACTCGAATTTCATCTCATACATATTTTTCCAAGTTCATTCGTAATTGTGCGTTTCAAGCCTGGCGCCAGAAATATATATAAGGGATGTTGGGGCTCGTACCCAGGATACTTATCGCGTCGTGATGCTACCTGGACCTGAAGGTTTATTCTCAGCGTTGGAAGGGCGAGTCGTTGTAAAACTAAGAGAAAACAGAGTTAGATCGAATAGAAATGTTATTTCTCTATTGGCTTATTAAATTTATTATATAAGATTTTAAATAGTTTTTTCATTTGTTCTTAAAAATCTTGCTTGCACATTCTACATTACACATACATTATATATTATATATATTACACACACATTACACATTTAGAAAAATATAATAATGAAATTTAGCTACTCGATAACTTGGGCCTCGCAAATTGTATATCGGCCGTCACAATAAATTCTATGTTATTTTTTCAACTCAGTCTGTGCACACTTTCCTTTATAGCTAATACTTCATATTTATCTTACAAGTTTTTTTCTGTTTAAATAATCTCAATCTTGCAAATACCTTATTAGCACATAATTTGTGGATTCGTACGGTCGTTCAATGGTATCCAAAAAATTTGCAAGGGATTTCAATAAGGGAAAAAACCCGTGTTAACAAAGGCTTTCACTAAGACTGGCGCTACAGTGTCAGCTACAAGATACAATATTCTTGGCTGAAATTCATCGACCTGAAGTTTTTTGCCCTTGCACAGTCGTAAAATTGGCTTTATCTCAAATTCAGAAGTAGGAAAAAGGAAGCAGGATGCCTCACATGAGGGAATTTACCGGAATGTACTGCACATTCTTATCTGCTCAACCTGCTTGGCATATGGTCATTTTTATATTAGTTGTACCTTTAAGCCCTGCATTTTCTTTGTTTCTTTGCTGATTATCAATTGACTGAATAAATAGTTTTGAAAATTTAAATTTTTTAAATAACGCCTTCATAGATTAGCCCAGATATTTATAATGGATCAGGCATAAAATTCGTCTATGGAAGATATTTTCAACTAATATTTGATAAAATCTCCTTAACACATTATGCACACTATTCCAGACAAATAATTTTTATCATGAATGGTATACTCGAATTTCATCTCATACATATTTTTCCAAGTTCATTCGTAATTGTGCGTTTCAAGCCTGGCGCCAGAAATATATATAAGGGATGTTGGGGCTCGTACCCAGGATACTTATCGCGTCGTGATGCTACCTGGACCTGAAGGTTTATTCTCAGCGTTGGAAGGGCGAGTCGTTGTAAAACTAAGAGAAAACAGAGTTAGATCGAATAGAAATGTTATTTCTCTATTGGCTTATTAAATTTATTATATAAGATTTTAAATAGTTTTTTCATTTGTTCTTAAAAATCTTGCTTGCACATTCTACATTACACATACATTATATATTATATATATTACACACACATTACACATTTAGAAAAATATAATAATGAAATTTAGCTACTCGATAACTTGGGCCTCGCAAATTGTATATCGGCCGTCACAATAAATTCTATGTTATTTTTTCAACTCAGTCTGTGCACACTTTCCTTTATAGCTAATACTTCATATTTATCTTACAAGTTTTTTTCTGTTTAAATAATCTCAATCTTGCAAATACCTTATTAGCACATAATTTGTGGATTCGTACGGTCGTTCAATGGTATCCAAAAAATTTGCAAGGGATTTCAATAAGGGAAAAAACCCGTGTTAACAAAGGCTTTCAACTCGCTCAATATTCATCAACGTTGTCAGTTTAAATTTCCGTGGCTGACTTGTTTTCTTGGTACTTGCAATTTTGTAAGATTTATTAAGCGCGATCACGGCTTCAAAATTGTTCCGAGGTCACCTGTGCTCCTTGCCGCTAATGACCGCGACAGAGGAGCGGGTTGATCACCAATATTCTACAATTTTGTTTATTTTATTATTTATTTTAATTTATTCTACAATTTTCTTCAATTTCAGGAAGCATGCTTCTTCTAACTTGAAATGAATGTTGTCACATTCGAAACTTCTTAATACATTAAGATTAATTTTTGAACCTGAATTTCGATCTACCAACGTCATCTGAAAAATATTGTTCGACCCTAAAAATTGTAATCAATGTTTTCTCTTGTCATTAACTGCACATATTTAAACAAGCAAATTCAGCCATCTAATATTAATATTAGAACTTATAGCCTAAATGTATAATACAATTTTGAATTGAGGTCACACATTATCATTTACACATTGGAAAATTTAGACTATATATTCTCTAATTTTACATTAAAGTCACACATTATTTAAAATATTCACACGTTTAAACGAAAAATACCAATGTCTCAGAAATTGCCAAAATGCGATGTCGTTATCCGTGCTGATATTTCTAATAATACATTCAGACCCCCGAATAGCTTTATTGTCGTACAGGGACTTAAATAGCTATTTGGTACCAAAATTAAACTTCTCATTTGAAAAGAATTTTACGAATAATTCGCACAGTTTTAGATGTTATTTGTCAATTCCCGTACCACTGATATATATATATTTATTAAAAAATTCGAACCTCGATCGCAGTAAAACGGTGAACGTTGTTTAAATGTACAGTATATACTGTATGTCCCTAATTTAAGTTTCTCTTCTTTCATTATTTGACCAACTCATGGGATCATTACTTGAATCGCGAAATAACATGAATAATTATTACTTACGTCATCCCTCACGACCGTACTATCAACACTCTTACACGCAGCGACTAACTTGTACGTAGCGGCCGAGTTCTCATCTGTGATTGGTGATTTTAGATTAAAAAGCCGGCTGACTTAGTTGCGAACTCGTAATTCTCGTAGCACGCTTCCATTAACTCGTCTTATAATCTCTGAATGAATTATAATCTCCGTATGTATAATCTCTGGAGAGGAATATAATCTGTTTATTTTTTAATATTTTAGTCTATTAGGCATGTAGAAACGAGTGTAGCCTGTAGAGAGACCTGCAGTCTATACCTTTAGTTGGCTGTAGAGAGGCCTGCAGTCTATACCTTTAGTTGGTTGTAGAGAGGCCTGCAGTCTATACCTTTAGTTGGTTGTAGAGACCAGCAGTCTATACCTTTAGTTGGTTGTAGAGAGACCAGCAGTCTATACCTTTAGTTGGCTGTAGAGAGGCCTGCAGTCTATACCTTTAGTTGGCTGTAGAGAGGCCTGCAGTCTTTACCTTTAGTTGGCTGTAGAGAGACCTGCAGTCTTTATCTTTAATTGGCTGTAGAGAGACCTGCAGTCTATATCTTTAATTGGCTGTAGAGAGGCCTGCAGTCTATATCTTTAATTGGCTGTAGAGAGGCCTGCAGTCTATATCTTTAATTGGCTGTAGAGAGGCCTGCAGTCTATGCCTTTAGAGAGACCGGCTGCCTCCAGAGAGGCATTTGATCCGCACAATGTTCAATACAAGCCGTTATTATTAGCCTGATCTCTTGATATGCTGACATCGTCCAATAAATTGTTTGGTCGACATACGCAGCTATGGCAATGTTGCCAATTTCCTACAAATAACTTGCCAATCCGAAACCTTCTGTAGCAAAACTGCATAATTAAATTATCGGCTGGAGACCTTTATATACCGGCTGTATATCTATTGAATTTGATTATTGCTCCGTGTATGTTATGGAAAATATGACCATATTACGAATTTCGAATCGAGGTCATGATGAAAACATGCACTAATAAATTATGTATTTCGCAAATTTGCATATTTTTTTAAGCCTGTCACCGTATATATTTAGGGGCTGTTGGAGCGCAGATCTACTTTATTGCCTTGAAAGTTTATTTTTATTTGTGGAATGTCGTCAAATTGAAAAATGTTGAAGAGAGTGGCATTAAAATATTTTTTAGCTTGTTAAGCGCAAATTTTATTTATTAATGAAACGGTCAAGTTTACTCCAGATTACTAAGCAAGTTTTCCCTAATCAAAAATGAGTTTGAATGATCATCTCTTCAATTACAGATGCATTAATTTCAAATTACTACCTGAAGAGGAGATATTACCGATGATGGAATTTAGACTTGCGGCATTTTCATATTGTAGAGAACATCTATAAATGGCAACGCCAAGCGAGCAAACTTGCTTGTACAATACCTATATAATTTTTTGTTAAAAATATACACTTTCCGGCTGCGGATGAAGTTTTCCAACAGGAAATGAATAAAAAACTTTAACCCTCACTTTTAACTTTAAAAAACTGGAGAATATTGATGAGTACTGTTAAGATATGAGTAATAAGTGACTTTCATCCATAGAAATTTTCCTTTATAAAGTAAAATCAATACTCGGATAACTACGAGATAAAAACTGTGAAATTAATAATTTATAAGACCCAATTATCTATTTAATATTTGAAAATATTCTTGCTCAATATTAGTATATTTTGTATGCAGATGCATATATTTGAAATGCAAATGAATGTGATTTGAAATGAAATGAATGTCTGATAATTATATAATTATCGCGGTATTTTCTCACAGTTGTCGGCGCCAGTCATTTATGCCTCAATCATTTATTAATGTTCGACCTTAACTTTCCCTTAATAGAACTAATGTCAACAAAAAAATTCGGTTTATTAAATGTTAAGTTTTTAAGAAATATTTTGCATTGACATAATTATTAAGGACGGTTGCATTATTTCTTTGCTATGTCATCGTTACTGCCTTTATTTAAAACTACCTCAATCAAATTGATTTTCACCAGTGAAACTATTTTTCGGGATGATACTTAATTGGTACAATACCTCGTATCTTTGCTTCTAGTGTTTTATTTAATGTATTTAGTGGATCATTTTAGTTGAAATTGCTTTACTCGGTTTGATTGGGTTTTAAACACGCGTCGGTTGATTAACAATTCTTAGGTTTCGAAAAAACTTTGCTAATTATACGCACGTGTGCGATAAATGTGCCAGACTAAACAGAGTTGTGCGGAGAACAAAAAAAAAGTAAAGAGAAAGTTGTTCATTTTTGGGACACACTGTGGGCAATGAGACACTGTGACCCATTCATTTTTCACAGTGTAACTGAGACGAACACAGAAGCCACAAAATTTACTGCCAAACGCAAATTACTTTTATTGTATTGATTTTCCCTGTTCAGTGTTCTGTCCATAAATTTTTCGCTACGTGTGAAAGATTCAAATTAATTTATATTTTGATAGAAATTTAATCACTGTGTTGGCTGCCGCTGCAGGGCTACCAGGTGCTGCAAGCCATCATTCCGGGCATCAATGAGTGAGTCTACCTTGGTATATTTAAGCATTAATAATAAATAATAATACTAATTATAGTGAAAATAATGCTAAAATGAGAATAAATAATAATACCAATAATAATAATAATAATAATAATTATAATAGTAGAAATAATAAAAATACCGATGATATGAAAAAGAACTATTTAAACTCGATCTCCTCCGTGTTCGAAAGTTTTTCTCTCCTATATTTTTCTATTTCTGTTAATTTAGATAATTAATCAAAGTCTGTGTTAAGATCTGTTAATTCTTACTCTTTCGCATTGCACAGACTTCGAGAAATTAGGGCTTGTAATATATAGTAAATATTCATATTTAATATATGTAATACATATTTTAATCTAGCCCTAACGTGAAGAAATTTTCAAAATTGTAATATATTCACCTGACTCGTGAGTGAAGACAATTACATTATTTAGCTACCGAATGTTTTTCCTTATCGATGAGAGTATTAACGCAGGTTTTTCAACAAGCTACAATAAAAATATGGTTATTTTTTGTGTCGTGGTTGAATTATTAATAGATTTAACCGTATAGATTTTAATGCGTTATTCATTGCAGAAATTATTCATCAGTGCAAAAGTCATGAGATTGAGTAATATTACGTAAATAATAATTCGCAATAAGTAATTAATTCGTGATTCGTAAGTAATTAATTCTTAATGAGTAGGTAATGATATTTGTTGTCTTTACCAAGATTCCACAAAAGTATATACGTCATTAAATCAATGTGGAACCTACTACTTCAATAACATAACAATTGAAAAATAATAATCATGGCAGGAAGTTGCATTATTACTTTTAGATTTTTAATCACCTATTTACTATGAGTAGATTTTTAATCACAGTTATAACTATTAGATTTTTAATCATTTTCCTGGATGAGAAAATTTAGGTTTTAGCTTATTTACAGATGAGATAAGAAGCGAATACAGTATACTCAGCATTATCGAGGATACTCTTTGGGAAGTTTAAATGTATTAAATAGCTTTTCGCTGAAAGCTTTCTCAAGCTTCAAATATGTAAATTTTTACGCCCAGTTGCAGTGTACACACACGAAATATTTAAAATACCGATTTAAATTAGGCCGACTGATTTAAATTAATCGGAATATGTGCCGTTCGATTTTTACATCCTACACCTTCTTATTTTTAACCCATTTAATTTTCACCAAGTTGCTTCGCGTTTTTCTTAAAAATCGTTCGTTAGGCGTGATCCAGTAAAAAATTTTTAAAGTTCTTGCATGAGGGATATATTTCACTTTTTTATGTGTCCGATTTCTTCGGCTGTAAACAGACGTGTTTTGTTTGTTTACGGTAGAGCCTCGATCCCATGTGTATGACGGTCCTGCAAAAAATAAGGGCGCCAAATTTAAAGTCCCTTCGAAATATATGTAAATTTTATTTCGATTCAATTTGTGTTTTTTTATTGAATTCATGATTTTTTTTTATTTCGACAGTGAAAAAATGTAAACTCGATTAAATCATTATCTGATTATCGTATTTCTGTGCATTTTTGAAGGGACCCATGGAATTTTTGAGATATTATTCGATTATAACTATATTTGTACGAGCATCTCAGTTTACTGATGTTTATGTTAGAACAACATCTGAATCTGATGTTCATCGCTGTCAAAATCATAAGGAAATGAAGAAATACTTTTTGAAAAATTAATCTCTCTATTGTCGATTGCAGAATAAAATTTAAATAGAATTTATTCCAATTAATGCACTTTGACCGAAATTTCGCGTTTTCGGCCACAGTTCAGAGGGAGCGAACGATAATTTTCTCGTTCCTCACTCTTTGACTTTTTGTTCTTAGCATATATTGTGATATTTTGCAATACTTTGCAAATAAACCCCCTACATTGATTCAGTGAGATATAATTTATAATTTATTTCGAGCTTGCTTATCATCGATGTAAAACCATTTAGAAAGTGAAATTAGAATGGCAGAGATAAATTAGTTTCAAAATCCATTCAGATTCATTTTTTCATCTGGAAATTCTTTAATATTTAAAGGTAAGGCAATTTACCTGGCATTTCCATGCCTGTAAATTATTCAGCTGCTGCGAAAGTCGACCAACAGGTTTACAAACAACCTCGTCTCGTGCCCCGAAGTTCAAGTAACTTTTTTTCGCCTGCTAGAATTCTCGCTAACTTCAGTTCTCACTATCTTGTTGTCTCAGAAACATCAAAGCATTAAATTCCGTACCCAGATCGCCATCAAACTCGAGGACTAATTTTGAATCTACAAATTTGTTAAAAAATCCAGAACTTTATGTTGATCCGACTCAGGCTGCGAAACTAATTTTATAATCACGCCACTTTTATCTTCGTGAGCTTTAATCTTGGGGGCGCGAGTCAAAGATATTTTATTTCCTTGGTCTCTAGCTTTTCGTTCTTGTGAGTCTGGCTGTTCATTAATCCTGGATGCACATTTGGCACACGTTGCACATTTGGCACACATTATAACTTTGGCACACGTTACACATTTGGCACACGTTACACATTTGGCACACGTTGTACATTTGGCACACGTTGCACATTTGGCACACGTTGCAAATTTCGGTGAACTTACAAAATGAGTCTCCAGTAACAATAAATTAAAGAGCCTTTGAACACAAGAAGGTAAATAGCAAGGAAGAATAAATGATAACGATAAGAAACAAGTCTCACATGCTCGTTTAATCTATGAGATAAATATACCAGCAAATTCTCAGCTCTTTATGTATATTGAACCCTCAGTTTTTAATTTCCCCCTGTATTTAAAATGACACTGATAGTATCCTTCCAAATACGTTATAATGAACCCAAAATGAGGTCGATGCAATGGCGAGGAAATGTGTTCACATTAAAAAATCTGCAACGCGCAGAGTTCATTGATTATTATGTACTACAATACTGTATATAGGACACTTCGTCACGTCTTTTATAAATTGGAAACCTCGTCACGTCTTGCAGCTTTGTAAAGTTCTACCTTCCTAACTATTTAATGTTTGAATGGTTAATGCCATTGTAATTGATATTAGTATAAATTTCCTTATAGCACTTTGGACTTACGCATTGTAAGCAGCAAAATAAAAATGTCAATGAATTTACAGTTTAATTTGTTAGTAAATTTGAACTCTAAGAAAAGTGATTAAACAGCATATTGATGAATTCCTCAATCAAGTTTCCGTAAATTATTTCATCGCGTAATGGGAAGTTACACACTTAGATTTTCATTGTTTCATTTCAGGTCAAGATAGTAAATTTTAAGTTTAGCATTGTACTTCTCGCTTAAAACAAGAAGAAATAAATTTAAAATATATATATATACAATTGTTGAAAGACGACATGAGGCATTGCAGATGATAGTAGCGTTGAGAACGATGAAAATTCAATGTCGATATAACAATATTTAAAAAATAGATAATTTATTAATAATAAAGCAGGAATAATAACCGCAGTTGGCCTACAGACAGTACTATTTGCATATACTTCTACTTTTTGGCCAAAAATGAGTATCTGAAGCAATGATCTTTTGCATGAAAAAATAAACAGTAATGTAATATGAATAACTTAAAAAAGGGTTGTTCAGAGGGTTAAGCTTGGGTTGAAACTCTTATGGCATCAATGGAATAAGTGCATCATGGTTATTAAGTCTCTTGCTTTCTGAAGCTTTGACAACATCATACATTTTGCGTGCGATCAATGCACAAGTTCTCACGTGTTATGACTATTAATTCTTACTCAGGGTTCCGCATCCGTACTTCCCTAAGTCGTTTTTCCCAAGTCAAATTGAACTCCCTTGGATCGCCTCAATTTTCTCTCATCCGCACTGTAAACTATGGCAACATTTATACCGGTCATTTCTCTCACTATTAAAGACTGGTCATTAACCATCCATGACTGTTACTGAATGTTCGCTGATGACGAAGCAGCTCTAATATATACTACTATCTACAACATAATATGATGGATGCCCCAGAGATACTTATTCTCTCAACAAATTCGCCCAACTGCCTTAGGAAAAAGAAGAGACTTGGAAGTTGGTGCGTCCCAAGGAGCTTGTCTTTCATTTTTGTTCCCGCCGGTAACAGTGATCATCATACAGTGACAGGAAATAATGTCGGCCTTTCTTTGTAGAAGCATACTTTGTTAATGACCAAAATGTGCCAACAAAGATAATAACGGCCAAAAGTTCTCAAAGCTGGCCAAATCCTATGACCGGAACGCTCAACAGAGAGGCACCTGCAGATTTTTCCTATCGAAAGTTTCGATAAGGTTGGGGTATTGAAGTACCTAGAAGGAAAATTTTTGACATTTTGCCTTAGAGTTATTTTAAACTTTTCAAGCTGAATTTCGGAATCGGTGTAATATATTTTGGGGAAAACGTTTATAATAACGCAGTGACGTAAAAATACATGAAAAATAATTGAAATTTTGACAAATCATATTATAAAAATGTATATTCGTTTAAATATCAGTATTTTCCTTCCCAAAAAGTACATAGCAATTGTACACTCAGCAGCAGATTCGCCCATTTAACATGAAATTTGTCAGTTTTTCTATTTCAACCATTTAAATGTGAATCTTTTCAAATCGGTATTATTCTGATGGTGTCCACATTCGACCGTACTCCATCATGAAATCCTACAACATGTTGACCAGATTCTAAAACATTTCGTTGTGTTTACTCGAAAGCTGCTGTGATATGGGCTTCTATAGTATGACATACCTAAACCTACGTGACTCACAGGCATGAATTACAAAACCCAAACATAACAATTTTCACGAAATATTGGTCCAATTGTTACTCATAAAAGTATTTATTATATATAATAAATATATAAATCTAATCTTTCTCTAATATTTATATTTGTAAATCCTTGCCTCCCCAACTTTGGGCGACGTGGCAATGACCCGCTATTGAACATAGTCAAAATAGCAAAGAAAGAACTGCAAAAAACGATCGCATTTAATATATTTCAACTAAACATGAGCGCGCCGTAAGATGATGGAGTAGTCCATTGTGGGCCAGAAAATAAAATTAAATTCTGAAATTTATTCTTTCTCTCAAACTTCTGCCCCGAACACCTAATGCTTCTTGCTGCTTTTCCTAGATTTTCACTCAACAACAATGATGTAATGTTTTGAATTCTTTTGAAAAATATTCAGAAGAATGGTATTTGTGAAAAAGTAATGCGCGGAATACGATGGATTACTGCAATGAATGCCTCAAAGAATTACGACTGGAAATTTGGATATTGTGGATACTCGTCTTGGAATTATCCAATGCAGAATTTCAACAATGCAATTGCTTTCTTTGAGAATTGCAACACTCATAATAGCAATATTGTCTTCAGACATGGCAGGTTTTGAGCATCCGAGATGAACCTTAAGTTTCGAGTATGAATGCCATCACCGAATCTTCATTTGTACAAGTATAAACCATTGTTGAAATTCGCATTGTCTGAATTGAAAAGCGCGTTCCTCGGCGATTGTTTTTTATACTTCGCTTGAATGTTTTGGGGCAGTGTTGTCCGACAATGAAAGTATTTTATTCATTACATCCAAAACTAGCATTCACTATAAAGTTGTTTTATTCTGGGACCGCAAATTTTTCATAAATGTTCCCATTACTGAGTCAAATAAAATTTTTACAAAGGTTGTTCATATCGTTGCATGAAATGTTAAAGTTTATGAGGCAAAATTTCATAATAAATATAGATCTCATTCTTTCTTTGTCCATGCATACAAAACCATTGTTGCAAAAGCTCCAAACTATGTACAATTTTTCATCAACACTTCCCTCTCATCATCGGTCTCGTAAATCACAGCCCTAAAATGGGGCGCGCAAATATTATTGAGCTTGCGACAATTGCAATGCAAGGCTAGAGCACTAGTTCAACACTATACCTACCCCTACTAACATGAATAGATCACTCTTAAAATCCTATTAGTTAATTACTACTAGCATTGTAAGATCACTTTTTAAACCGTATAGGTTACATTGTTAGATCATTCTTTAAAATCGGATTGATTTCTACTAGCATTTTTAGACGAATCTTTAAAGTATTAGTTACTATTAGCATGGTTAGATCACTCTTTAACCCATATAAGTTACTACTAACATTGTTAGATCACTCTCTAAACAGTATAAGTTACAACTAGCATTGTAATATCACTCTTCAAAATCGGATTGTTTCCTACTAGCATGTATAGGTCACTCTTTAGCACCATCCTAGTTACCAATAGTATGACGCAAATACTAGCTGGCTTTGTGGGCTTCTGGAATGAAGAGATTAAGTGGTGCAGTCAATAGAAAATCATCGCCTGAGAAAGCATCGGCTGAAATAATTCAGTAATCTAATCGCATTCTGAAGTTACGCACACTGTTATCATTCAAGTGCTCACTCTATACAATGCGTGCGTGGGCTTCCACGTGTCATGCATTTTGATGTCAATCTTTAATCATTTTCAAAGTTTTTTAATGAAGCTTCCTGATAAAGAAAGTTCAAACTTTAAAGGAATCATTTTTTCACTCAATTGTGATTTTTTTGAACGGATGAAGCTCAGTTAACTTATGGATTGAAATGAAATGTAGAAAATATCATTGAATCTCTTCACATCACTTAGCATGTAAACCCAGCCTATTACATGAACAAAGTAGAATGTTGTTTTATTTTCGTTCATTAATTATTCATTTTCATTAAATTAACCATTGTTTCAATACACATGAGTTTGCTGTGATTTTTCAATTCATTTCAATTCAATAATTTAAAACATCATGTATTTCTACATGAGTTCAATGATCAAAAACACATGTTTCAAAATATAAGTATAAAAATAATTTAAATTAATCATAAATTCCTGACCTCAGGTACAAGTTCATCAACATCATTTGGTTCTGCTGCCACTGGCTTGCTATGAGCAACAGCTGCGTTAACCCTTTCATCTACGCCATCTATAATGTGAGTAAATGCAATCAATAATGTGAGCGAAAACAATCTAGTATGTGAGTAAATACAATCTTATATTATCAGTCTGCTTATATCCCAAGTTCACAAGGAATTTAAAAGCAAAGAAAACACCAAGCAAATTCACCGTAGTGATATTGAAAACGTTTCGGAGTCTTTCTGAGTCTGAAAACGTTTCGTAGTCTTTCGGAATTCTTCAGGACTCCGAAACGTTTTCAATATCGATATGGTGAATTTGCTTGGTGGTTTCTTTGCTTTTAAATTCCTTGTAAATACAATCTATAATGTAAGTAAATACAACAATAATGTGAGTAAGTACAGTCTAAAATGTGAGTAAATACAGTCTAAAATGTGAGTAAATACAGATTATTATCAGTCCATCATAATAAACAGATAATCGTTCGGAAAATTAAAATATCAACAGAATTATCAAATTTATATATGTTAATGTTAGAATATTGCGTCTGCATAAAATTTTTAATGTCTTCTCGAGTAATTGTTTTTCAACTTCACATTAAACAATTACATCATTTGAGCTAATTTCATTCTTTACCAACAGGATTGTTTTCACGTCACTATTTAAATTGAAATTTGTACAGCTTCCTGGAAGGGAGCGCCATTATTAGATACCTTCGTTAATTGATTTATTTATACAGTGATTGTATTAGAAGGAATACTTTTTGATCGGAAAGCGTTTGCACAGATAATTTAAAAAATGAGACGTCCTTTACCTCAACTTTAGAAAGAATATTTCAATGCAGTTAATCTCACCTTGGTTGTTCTCATAATGTTAATACGGAATAGAACGAATCCTTATTTTTTAGCAATAAATAAAACAGGAAAATATAAAAGCAAAATCTAAAACCTCTAGATGCAGAAATAAATTTACCGGACAGTTAACGAGAGCGCCACTTCAGGAACAAGAATTCGATTTTGGAAATGTCATTCGCTAAAAAAATAAGGAAGGTGCAGGGTGAGCCAATCTTTTAGAAGCTTTCGATTTAGGAAGAAACGCTGGAAAATAGACTGCCTGGGCGCGGGAAGTTCTATGTAAACACGGCCATAGATTTCAAGTACACAACGAGGCTGACGCTGCCGGAACGCTTTCTGGAATTTATTTTTAGCTACATCGAGCTGAACTTATGCTCGGTATTTTTTGAGCTTTACTTTTGAGGAATTGATTAAAGGCCTGACTAAAAATATTTCCGATCAATCGCGTACGTGCTTGAATATTCTAGGAAAATCTTTATTTAATAATGCGGGAGCTGCGACACTTCATCGGCGGCCAATCCCTGAACATTTATTTTTCCCCTTGTAAAATAAATTAATGAAATTATTACTACAATTTCAATTTCAGGAAAAATTCAAGAGAGAATTCCGGCACAAATGTCGTTGCTGCTTCCGTGAGACTCAAGAACTTCCGCCCGACCTCAGCGAGCTGGAACGCTCGCGGGTGTCTTCTCATCACTCGTTTAGGTACAGGTACGGATGCCGGGTTCAAATTTTAACACATTCACGAATTTATTAATCTAACTGAACGTGCTTCGTTGCAATTCTATCATATTCACATATTTTTTATGGCAACTGAACGTGGTGATTCATTTTTTGACCTATCTTCTATATTCAGGTAGAAAAACCTGGTGTGCAAGTTTTTTTTTAGATGAATAGAGACTAACCACGTTCAATCATGAACCCATTACATTCATTCTTGTTAGCCACGTATAGAAAACACTCTATTGATTGTTCTCGAGTTAATTAATTCATTATTTGGAAAATGTGTGATACATTCAGTACATTAAACTGTATAAACATTTTATTTCTCGTTTTTTTAAATAAAAAGTGTTGTCTGCATGTTTCGAGCCATCCTCCAAGATTCAGATCGGTATGCAAGAATTTAATTCGAAGTCGAAAATTTGTATGACGTTTAGAGTTGAATCTAACTGTATCTAACTGCTCATCACTGAAAATTTTCGCCTTCGAATTCTTCAAAAATGATGACATTTCTTTTTTGAATGACATTTCTTCTTCTCAATGACATTTCTTCTTCTCAATGACACTTCTTCTTCTGAATGATATTTCTTTTCTAATCACATTTCTAAATCTGGATTTGAAGAAAATTTTCAAAAATAGCACAGCAGTGTTTTGTTCAATCTCGCAAAGAAAATTAAAAATAAAACAAGAGCTCGAATTGTGCGTGAATCCGGATCTGAAAAAAGTTGTAATGCAGGCAGAATTCAGACGAGAAGAGTACACAGCTGACGATCAAAACTTTGTACGTTGAATTCAAGAGTTGATATCGGGCAAAAATATCAAGGGGAGATTGTAGGGGACACTCACTCGTCAAGCCATTCCCGCACGGCCATTGGATTTCGAGAACGATAATTGACAAAGAGTAACATACGGAGGTGGCTGCTACAGCACGTGTGTCTCGTTCACGGCCGATATGCGACCAAGTCTGCCTTACAAAAGTCTATACACAAGTAGATTAAGCCTAGTGTATGCCTCGAGAAATTTATTCAAACTGATTGTGTAATGATGTACGTTTGAAGTCTGAACTTTGTGAGTGATAATAATATTAATTTTGCAAACGTAGATCTACAAACACAAATGTCCGACAAAGTCTTTGTGAGAGGAGCTCATAGACTCTCCGACATTCGCCACGTTTGGTCACGTTCTGCTTCACCGCAGCTCCGACATTCTATGCCTCTACCATGAGCCTTGGTCTCCAGAAGTGCCATTCCGGTTGCTTATTTATGACCAGAGCAGAGCGTTACTAGTCATGCTAAAGGCTGAGTGCTGCTATTATTGCAACGTAAAAATACCATAAACTCCATCTGGTGCAACAAAAATTAAACATATTAGTATTTTGAATGACGTTTTTGCAGGTATAGCATGTTATTTTCATTCACGTCTAAGTTCATCAAATTCTTCTCTTTTTCAAATTAGGCAATTCAGCGGATGACAGTTTGATCAATCTTCTCCTGTTTATTTTTTTAACTTTTATTTTTTTTTGCGTTACACTGATCCGTCACTACTTCAGGCCTCAAATTCTACAATTTAAACTCAATTGGAAAGATCTCCTTAACCTTCAAATACGAGTATTTCGTACTTTCGAGTCCGCTCGTGCGGTGAAACTCGTACAATGTCAGCTATAATACAGTGATATATTTACTTATACAGTGCTTGGCAGTGGCAGCAACGTTCGGAAAAAGCACTACACAGATAAATCATTTAATAATTCCAATCGAATTATTTATCTTATTACATAATTATTTATAATATAATTACTTCTATTAATATATATATTATTTTATTATTTAATATATTTAGATATGATTCACTAATATTTTCTTGCATGTCAGGTCGACTCGTGCGTCATTTTTGAGTTCGATGGCAGCCCGAGGAGGCAACCACCACAATCCCTGGCAGTGCGGAGGCACCGCCTGCGTGGGCAGCTTACAGCCAGGCTATCCGATGCTCGGTATCGACAACAGTCGAGGCTCCCAGAGGTTACGCCAGTTACCCCAGAATATTTCCCCAAACATAAACGATTTACCGCTTGAGGGTAAAAAAAGACACGTGTTAGTCTCAGTCAAAGACAAGGCGAACGAAAACAAGACGCTTCATGGATGTTTTCCGGCGTCGAAATTTGAAGGTTCAGGACGAAGAGTAAAAAGTTCATTCAGGGAAAATCAGCCTTCGGATATCCCTGAAGATCCTTTCAGCGATATTTCATCTTTCAACGAACAGAATAGTGAGACTTCCTTCAACCGTATTGATTCTCACCCTATTTCCGTAGCTCTGACACACTCATTCTCGTGTGAGGAGAATCGAAGGAATGGTGACATGTGAATAACTGATTAAAATACAACAGTACGAATCATTATCAAATTAGCAGTATATATATTTTTTCGGGGAAAAATTCCTCAAAATGCCCTCAAAAAAACCAAAAAAAAAAAAACCAAACAACAATGAATTTAACCCAAAAGGAAATCAAATTTTCAAAACCCTAACTATCTTGAAATACTAATTAGTCTTTCCGGTATTCACGCATTCGAACTCGAATCGATTATTGAATGTAAGAAAAAATAGTTAGAAAAATATTTTTGAATTATTTCAAAACAACATGTAATAATTTTGTACAGAAAAATAAATGACAGGTTAATTAAGGCTTCCACGAGATTTAATCCAACATACCGTGCCATGATATTAAGATTAACTATCTTTACCAGCTACTGATAACAGAAAAATGATAAAACGCACCTATTCTTCTCTCTGAAGTTAGAAAATATTCGTATTTTTTAGGTTACAAGTTAAAAAATGTACGATGATTTGTAATTGTGAGCGTGGATCATTCCTCGACTTATCTTGAATTTAAATAATATTTTATTTCAAAAAGGCAAAGATATTTGTCACGATTTTCTAAAAAAATTCTATCTTCAAATTTAACGCATAGCAAAAAAATTTATACACTTATATCAGCATATTTTGTTTGTATTTTGATCTCATTTAATTTCCCTACAATATAATTTTATTCCGTCTGTTCTATTGAGGGTCACTCGGAAATAAAGACCACGGTTTAATTATTTTTTTTTTCAAGTCTAATAATTCTCAGTTTTTCGGTTATTTCCGTCGATTGTATGTATTTAACGTGTATTCGAATTCCCGTGCAGTTAGATTAATTATTAAACTATCAATCAACAAGATGATTATGAATGACAACTCACTCCAATCTGTTGATTGCTTTCAACGATGAAAGAAACACAACAACGACATGCGGTGAACTTAATTATACAGTTATCAATCGCCCGTAACTTGATTATACAGTTATAATATAAATCTCCAGTAACTTGATTATACAAGTATCAATCTCCCGTAACATATTATACAGTTATCAATCTCCCGTAACTTGATTATACAGTTATAATATAAATCTCCAGTAACTTGATTATACAAGTATCAATCTCCCGTAACTTTGATCTCGCCTACGGTAACTTCATATTAATAAATTCTTTTGTTTTCAAGCCACGCCAATACAAATATTCTTATACATCGAAAGTGCATCGGCTTCAAAATACCATTATTTTTTGTTATACGTTTTATTTTAAATCTAATCAACTTTGAAATCAATTCTGAAATGGAATTAACTTTGAATATCCGTAAGTCCTGAAGTTCTCTGAAATTGATCCCTTATCCCAATAATTCTTCAAAATTTATCCATTAGTCCTTAAATTTTCCGAAATTGCTCCATGATCCCTGAAATCTTCCAAAATTTATCCATAGGACCTGAAATTTCTCGAAATTAAGCTTGTTTCCTATTGCCCACCTGAATCCATGACAAATGGTGAAATTATTGTTTGGCCCAACTGAAGTACTTGCACATGGTAGCAAATTTAAAGTGATCCTGCAAAATATAGAGGTCATGTAATATGGAAGAACTATGAAGGTCAATATCAATCCATTTTTCAAATTAGTAATTAATTCATTTACTTTTTGTACTCCTTACATATTACCGGTTATTAAATACTTAATTGGTTACAAGGGAAGCTACTTATAGAGCATTCCAGGAAACTTAGGTATATAATTAACTCCTTGCATTTAAATCAAATTAGCTTACATATTATTTTAAAATATTATTATTCAATGAGAGGGCTAAATAGTGCTAGTCATTTATAGTTCTTAGTTAAAAATATGGAAATATTCAACTATTGTTCAATTAGGTTATTTATATTGTCTTCACATCAGTTCTCACTCCAGAGCATTTAATAATGAAAATTACTTATTACATGCAGTGATTCGGTTCGTCTTGTTTCTGGATCTCTGATCATCCACGGTTGTTGGTGAGGCTATTTATTATACATCATTAATCACTTACTCTAAGAAATTCTTGCCATGCGATTGTTCTTCTTTCATTTTATGCCAAAAAGAGGATCAATTTCAAAATTAAATCCTTCCACAGTAATTCCTACACTTTTTATAATTTGAAGCGCTAACAAGAAAAAGACAGTAATTTTTTAGCGTGTTCTAGTAACGCTTAGTTGTGAAATTAAGTTGCTTATTCATGTACTTAAAATGCTATTAAATTTATGAACGGATTTTATAGGGTCTGATGAGAATTAACATATCATAGATATTTAACGGGTTCGGTTCGCATATCTGAATCAAAGCCGATTAACAATAGACCGCATGTAATCTCTCACAAGAATTTAGTTCGACTATCTGTTTATACCAAAATATCCTCTGAAAATCAGTAGTATCCGGTGGTCTATTATCCAAAGGCCTCTATCGGAACGTAGATACTGAAAACTAACTCGAATTTAATTTCACCTAGATTACGATCTTTCAATCTAGAAGTAATGGGAAAAAGTTGACTGCTTTCCCCATATACATATCTTCCAGTTACATGCCCATCTGGAATGGATCACAGTGGAAACGACGTTCATATCTAAACGAGATGCGCGCTCATACGATCTCATTGATCTGTTATCTTTCGTAACTGTTTATTGTGCAGCTTCATCCTGTCAGTGAATGTCTTGTGAATGCCGATAAATGGCAATGAATCACAGTCCTTGCTTCGATAGCCAAAACGCTGAGGCTGCAATTATCTCATGTGTTTACCAGCAGACCTCGCTAGCTTTGAGTCCACCGGGTCACACGGAACTGGCCTGTAATATGACTGTGCACTTTAATAGATACGATCCCTCTGCCTTTCGAAGAGGTCACGTACTCAAGACACGAGAATTGTCAACTACACTCAGCAAAATAACTATTGTTGTCTCATACTGTACAAAGATTGACACACTTGCTGCGTGTAGCACTGATGAGTCCATTTACCGGGCCATTCTGCATCAAGGTGATCCACCTATAAGGGACAAAGTGCATCGCTATTCGGACAAAGTCTAGTTCATTTTTCTGAGTGCAAGCATCAGAGGATAGTTTTCAATGACCCAGTGGCATAAATTGGACTACAGAGGTCTAATGGAAAATACGCGAGGATAACTGCAGCCACAATGTTTAGGATATAACTATGTTAGGATCGTTGTTCACTGCCACTTTTAGCGTATTTTCTCATTTATGAAAAAAATTCACTATTGTGCTCGCCATGTCCGTTCGTCTGTCTGTTCGTTTGTCCGTCAGTCCGTCTGTCTGGCCGTCCGTGACTTTACGTTTTCGTCGACGAGAAAATGCGCTCTCTGTCACTCACTGCACTGAGTTACTGAGTTATGTTTTTTTTTAATTGCATCCGCAAACAACTCGCTCACAATTCTACTGTTAAGTTCATTTTTCCTGTTGCGTTCATTTCAATATCCTGTAATATGTTATCGACAATGATCCTTTTGAACAGCAACATGCCGACAGCATAGCCTGCTTTTTCACTGCAATAATGTGAATTTTGAAACGACATAAATATTGAAGTACGCCATGGCGTACATCCATGGAATAAGAAACAGGAACGGCTCCCACAAAAGTAATAATCTAATGTTTCTAGTGGCAGAAACTAAGTCTTTTCTTCATTTTTCTTGTTTGACAATAGAGACGAAATTTTCACTTGAAACAATTTTAATAATTTGATTCAAGTGTTTTCAAACGAAAAGTACGTTTGTAAAAATCTCACGTTATATACATAAATGTAATGAGGTAATTTTTGTTTGTCGGGTAATACAAATTGGCAATTTCTGTTCAACATCCTCCTTTAGTTAGAAGGTAATTAAAAGATCGACTGTCACTATAAAAGGCATTCAACTGATCCTTAAATACAATTAAGTAAAACTAAGGAGCATTAATTGGTCTAGGTCGTTGGCAGTAGTCGTTAAGGATGGCAATTAACATGACATTAACACTTAATGAATGACTTTTACATGACATTTTGCTCAAAACCTTGATTAGTTCGCAAATGAGTCAATGGAAGCGCATCAAAACACGACAATTTGACAAAGGCAATCATCACTCAATCTTACTGTGCTCAGTTAACAATAAAAATAGTGCACTGCGACGTGGATATTAATGTGAATTGTATAGTTCTACTGAAGGTGCAATTAAGTAGTATCTTTAATGTAGACAAGTGGCGTGGCTTGGGGGATTTGCGACTAAGGCGAACGAGATACCGCGTATTGTTTTCAATAAACGTTACGGCTTCAATGTTAAATGAATAAGTGCATTGTTTATTTTTTCTGGTTTGATCCATTTTTGAGCATAAATCAAATTTTAGTCAATATAATTAGAAACCTATTTGATGGTGGAAATTCAACAGGTGATTTTAGGGGCAGGAGGAATAGTCGAAACAATAAATTTCCACAGCTGTTCGCATTTGGTTCTAATTTTAGAGAAATGTTTTCCAGACCAAATTACACATTTATTTTTGTATTAAAATAAATAAGGTACTTAAATTAGTACATATCAAAGCATATGGAAAACGTCAAGCGCAAAGTTCTTCTTATCAGATAACTATAGAGCTAAAGTATTAGTTTGACAATACATCTTTATTATTATCTTAATAAATAGATCCTATTGAACTGCGTCACAGTACTTCAGTGTAGCTCAATTCACCGACATTTCTAAATGACCTTATATCTTAATATCAACATGTTTGTATTAATATTGGTGGAATTAACATTCATTGATTAAGATTAAGTAGAATCAACTCTTCGCTGCCTAGATGTACCTAAAATTCATAACTGTATTTTTTTAGATATCCACTTTTAAAGTTTAACTATTATTTTTGCACAATTTTTGTGCACGTTCAATTTTTACATATAAATTCGCGACTTGCCTAGTGATAATAATTAATGGCTTTGATTATTCATTACATCCTTTCATTGTAGTATACTTATTTTTATCTTGGGGATAATATCACGGATCACTGTAAATAAGGTGGTAAAATAAGGTGTGGTTCAATCAGTGGAAAAGAGACTATATACGTAGAT